TATGTCAATGAGAACAAGATTTTTGACCCTGGCAGCTACTACGAAAGTGTTGGCTTTGATGTTGAGAAGGTTGGCATGATCCACCAGCGTTTCTCACCTTCTACAGAGTTTTCACCGGTGCTGCCTTATCGTTCCTTGGATGCTAGTCGTCTGAAGCTCTCTGGCACTGGCACCTGGCCCTTGGGAAACTATTTAGATGGAAGCATCCTCTGGTTGCCCTTCGTTGAGCCCCTTGTCCTTCGTCATGGAGGAGAGTGCTCTTGGCCTGGTCCTAGTTTTGCGAGAGAGACTATTGAGGAGAATTTTGAATTGGCAAAGTTGTGGAGCCTCAAGGGGCTCATGGCCTTATTCGAGAAGCCTGCAGCCTATTCATCCCGGGTCTTCAACACCTACAAGAATGCAGAAGTTGACAGGCAGATAGGTGACCGTCGCTTCATGAACGGAGGAGAGTACCATCCCAGAGGACCTTCAGCTGACCTTCCTTCAGGTGTTTCAATGACCTCGGTACACTGCCCTCGTGGGATGAAATTGGTTGGCTGTGCCTCTGACAGAAAGGATTTCTATCATCAAGCTCAGGTGACTCGCTCGAGAGCTTCTACAAACATGTTGCCCTTCGCCTTCCCTGAGAGTTGGTTTCAGGGCTTTGATGAGCTTGATGTCCTCTATCGCGAGCTTCGGGAGCCCACCAGTCGAGAGAAGCATGGAGACCAGTTGGGCCGGGGGCGTACCCCTCTGCTTGTCAGCCAATGTTTGGACTTCGTCTACGTTGGCTTCAAGAGTCTCTTCCAAGGAGATCATTTGGGAGTCGAGTATGCCCTTCAAAGTCATTCTTCTCTGCTGGAGTGGGGCGGCCTACTGTCCGAGGGTCGCGTGATCAAGAGGAATCATGCCTTCCCTGTTGGCCCGACTTGGGAGGGTTTGGTCATTGACGACTACTTCACGTTGTCTACAGAGAAGGTTTCCACTGATCCTCTGAGGGCACGCTCAGTCGAATTGCTCGAGATCGCCGAGGAGATTTACCAGAAGGCTGGTGTCCTGGGTTCTGATGACAAGACTATCCGAGGCAGCTGTGAGCTTAAGGCAGTTGGCGCTGAAGTCCTCTCGAACGCCAAAGTTTTGGGAGCAGGGCTTTCTGCTGTTGGTGCACCCCTTGGAAAGAGGATTGCACTTGCTTCGCTTTCCTTGAGGCTTGCAGCTCTCCCTGTGATTTCAAGAGGAATTGCTTCACGGCTTGCAGGAAACTGGACCTCAGTGCTTATGTTCAGACGGTGCCTTACATGCATTCTGGATGGCATCTTCCAGCTAGGGAACACTTCAGCAGCAACAGCAGATGAGGTCATCACTTTGCCCCGCTCTATAGCTGAGGAGTTGGTCCTGGCGTCCATTGCATCTTTCCTGGCTATCACTGATGTCAGTGTTCCCTATGACACTAAGGTCTATGCCACAGATGCTTCTACATGGGGTGGAGCGGTTGTGCAGACCGTTGTTGAGGAGGAGGTCGCAAAGCGCCTTTGGCTTGGAGGCGATCGAAAGGGAGCCTATACGCAGCTAGAGCATGGAGCTTCTGCTGCCTTGAGGATCCTTGGTGAGGAGACAGAGGCTGAAAGAGGGCTCGGCGTTCCCTTCCAGAGTTTCCATCCCAAGAGGGCGCTGGACTTTTGCTTTGACTTCGTTGAGATTTGTGGAGGCTCAGGTGTTCTTTCTGAGGCTATGGCTGAGAGAGGTTTCAGAGTCTGCACGCCCATCGACTTGAGTCAGAGCCCGGCCTTCGATCTTGGTTCTGAGAAGCTCTTGGACTGGATCTTCCAGATGATTGCAGAGAAGCGATTCAGGAGCCTCGCACTTGAGCCGCCTTGTACGACCTTCTCACCAGCTCAGTACCCTGCTTCCAGGAGCTATGACAATCCTCTTGGTTTTGATCGCAAGGAGAAGAAGACCTACCTTGGGAACCTCCTGGCATTTAGATGTCTCACAATAGCATGGTTTGCCTGGAGATTTGACCTCCCGTTGCTTTTGGAGCAGCCTCGTTTGAGTAAGATGGCATGGCTTGGTGCATGGCGCCATCTGCTCTCCCTTGGCTTTGAGGAGGCTATCTTGGCGTCCTGCATGCTTGGGTCCATACACAAGAAAGAGTTCCGCCTGCTGGTCTATGGCCTTGATACAGACCGGCTCACAGTGAGATGCTCAGGAGGTCATCGGCATGTGAGGATTGAGGGCAAGTATACAAAAGCCAGTGCAATCTATGCCCCAGGAGTGGCAAAACTTATTGCGGACTGCTTCTCAAAGGCTCTGAGTGAAAAGATAGGTCAGGAGGACCCTTCAGTCAGTGGCTTGGAGTCAGTGATCATCAACGATATTCTTCTCTCCAGAACTTGGACTACTACATCAGTATGGGCCTGGAAGCATCTTGGGCACATCAATGTGTTGGAAAGCCATGCCTATGTTGCTCTCCTCAATGCTTTGGCAAAGAGAGGTGGTTCACTCCGCTTCAATGCCTTCTTGGATAGCAGGGTGGCAAAGGGTGCTCATGGGAAGGGACGGTCGTCAGCAAGGTCTTTGAAGAGATCTCTCAAAAAGGCCAGTGCTTTGACCATTGCAGGGAACCTTCACCCTTCCTTTGGATTTGCTCCTACGACGTTGAATACAGCCGAGATCTTCCTTCGCCTACTACACATTCTATTTTGGATCATCTTTGCCCTGAGGAGGTTGCAGCCGTTCATGCCTTGCAGTTCTCGAAGGCGGCATCCAGTTGGATTCGGCTTGTCTTGCTGGCTTCCATTTGCCTTTCTCCTGCTGGAGCATGCTCAGAGGCTCCTTCCTTGGATTTTCTTAGTTGGACTTCCTTCGTCCCGTGGACTTTCATCGTGGACTTCATGTCCCTACTTGGGTCCGTCTCTGGACTTTGTGCATCTCTGTCAATTAGCTGCTTCTTCCTGCTCACCCTGTTGGCACCGGCTATCAGTTCTTCGAACAGTCGAAGGCATCCGTCTCCTCCCCTTTTGGCCTTTCTCATCCTCCTCTGCCTTTCGACAGAGCTTGGACACGTACGAGGGAGGGCCTGCCCGGGTTGTAGGAGCCGTTTTGCCCCTTTAGGTGGGTTCCCGGTCGCGCATGCCATGCCGTTGCAGCCGCGAGGAACCGAAGATCTGAAGAGAGCTGGAGCCCGAGCTGGCACGATTTTGGCAGCTGACCGGGTGCTCCAGCAGAGGACCAGGAGCCACCGTGATGCACTGATGCAGGACTTCGATGTTTGGCTGGTTGAGCATTTTCACACCACCCTGTCCGCTTTGTTGGATTCTAGGACGTGTGACCCACAGCTGGTCAATGAAGCATTGGTTGCATTTGGAAAAGAGATGTTTTTTGCAGGCCGACCGTACGGCAGGTTTTCAGAGACGATCAATGCAGTGGCTCAGCGGAGGCCTGCGCTGAGGAAGCAGTTGGCCATGGCTTGGGACCTGGCTTTCAACTGGGCAGTCGACGAACCTCGAGAACATCACCCCGCACTTCCCCTCCCTGTGTTGTTGGCGGTTTCAGGGTTGGCATTGTTGTGGGGTTGGTCGACAGAAGCTGCAATCTTTTGTTTGGCTTGGTCGGGGTTGCTTCGTATAGGAGAAGTTTTTGCTGCAAGGAGGGTAGATTTGATTCTGCCCTTTGAAGCCTCGCCAGGGTTTCAGAGCTTGATACTTCGCATACGGCAACCCAAAACAAGAGGCTGTGCTGCAAGACACCAGTGCTCAAGAGTTGACCACCCTGACGTTGTGCAGTTGGTGACCTCAGTGTTCAGGTTCGTTGACAAAGACTCCTTGCTTTGGCCGTGTGCACCAGCTACCTTGCGGAGGAGATTCGCACAGTTGCAGCAGGCACTTGGCCTCGAAACCACTCGACGAGAGGGCTTCTCTCCATATAGCCTGGCAAGTTTCAGGCCGGGAGGCGCCACGTTCCTCCTGCAGGAGACAGAAGACTCTGAGTTGGTGCGTCGCAAGGGCAGATGGTTGTCCACCCGTGTGCTCGAAGTGTACCTTCAGGAAGCTGGAGTAGCTACCTATGGAGCCTGCCTTTCAGACAAGACCCAAAGCCGAATTTTGACCTTGGCAGGCCACTTCGAGCATATCCTTAAGAGGGCCCTCTACTTCCGGGAGACCCACATCCCGGAGAAGGCCTGGCCACACCTATGGTAAAGCAGGAAAGGTTGGAAAGAGTGGCTTAGAGTTGAGAGGGGCTTTTGGCCTGATGGCCCGCCTCCTCCACAGAGCTGCAACCATGTGGAGAAAAGAGCGGAGTTCCTGCTTTGTAGGCACGACTCGATGTCGCATGCTCGTTCTCAAGCTTTCCCACCCGCCCACCGCTTCGTTGGTGTGGCTTAGAGTTGAGAGGGGCTTTTGGCCTGATGGCCCGCCTCCTCCACAGAGCTGCAACCATGTGGAGAAAAGAGCGGAGTTCCTATATAATTTGTTGTGGAGGGTGGAGAAAAGTGTATTTCTTTCACAGTCAGCACAGTTTTGGTGAAGTTGGGAAGTGTGGCGAGGACGTTCTTTCTTCCTGCACAAGCGGGTTCCTGCCATATGAGCTGAAACGGGTTTCCGGGTTTCAGTAAACGAAACAGCTGAAGCAGTACGAGCAGAATAGTAGAACAGCAGGTTATGCAAAGTACAGATATCCCGATTGTTTGTGGATTGCCCATTGTTTGCAGCATTTTCCCTTCAGTTT